AGGGAGGAATGGAGGGAGGGAGGATGGACAGACATATCTATTGATGAGTTGTTACTTAAATATTGTTGAGGGCATTACTAGCCACATCACACATGGTTTCTGCATCAGGTCCCATGTGAGAAATTCTGGAACTTAAAGCTGGGAAAAAATCTCACTTCCACTGACCAAAGGGTATGGTTCTTCCTCTTAGACAGAATTTTAATATAGATCCAGCTCTCTTTTTATGGTAGCTTCTAAGAGGTACAGAGCCGAACCTGACGCTCCTCTGTAGCTGCTGAATCAGCTCTATGATCTGCATAGCCTTGATTTTCTGTTGATGTTTTATTCTCTCCCGATTGTCCAATATCTGCTCCTACTTTATTCTCCTGGTAGGTGGCTCATCTCAGATACTTTGTAGAATGAGTGAGGAAGAATGAAAACGTATTTCTGTTGAAATGGTTTGAAGATACAATCTGCCCCATTGTGAAGTTCGCATTGTAGCTGAGCCCACACTGTTTACCTGGCTTTCCTCCTAGTGCAAAAGTAGACAATCCACACTCAGGGCTTCAGTGCTACAGGGACCAAGAGTAAAAGTAGAGTCAGGGGTAGCCATGTGCAGGGAAGGTGTTGAGATGGAGGGAAATTTGACTCATGGATTGTGGAGAGGAGAGAACTTGATGTGCGCCTTCAGGGCATGCTTTAGGTCCAGGTTTCTCCTGCCCAAGGGAGCCCGGCCATGCACCCCCTGTGAGAGAGCTTCGCCCTCGCACCGACTCCATGCGGGGTAGGAAGCGGGTACCTCTCTGATGACTCTCCCTGGCCCGGGGGTGCACAATAAAGCAGCCTGCTCCCTCATCCTGCGGGGCGCACTCCCCCATCTGACAGATATGATACGTTTTCTGATTGAAAGGCATTGTGGCTCCATTGACAAGAGTCTGAGCTCTGGCACAACGCGGACCCAGTTTAAATCCCGGCTCTCTCCTCATCGGGTGCACAGCCTTACATAAATCACTTCCTGTCTCGGAGACCCAGTTTTCTCCTCTGTAGACTGGGGCTGGGACTCAGCATGTTTCTAGGATGATCAGAAGTCAGGACTAACTGCCGGTGGTGCCTGACTGTACCTGGGCCGTGGCAGGGGGGCAGGGGTGAGGTGTGTGGAGGAGACTGGCAATGCGCCTCTTCGCTGGCAGGAACACCCGAGGTGCCCAGGGCAGGGGGTTGTGTGGCTTTGCCCCTGTTGGTTCAGAAACTCTATGTTCCAGTACAGGACCCACTTCAAATATGGCCTCCTCCTGCCACTTGAATTTTGCAGTGTGTTGGAAATTCTAACACTGAAGCATCTAAACAATGAGTCCCAAACTATAGCTCATACCCGATGCTGACACAAAAGTCCTCAGAGGTGGGTTTTTTGTTTTGATATCAAAACGTTGCAAACCGTGTGTTTCATTCATTTTTGTAATGACTTCCTATTTGGAGGGAGGAACAGATTGTCACAGAGCCTGGCCAGGACCTCCTCGGTGCAGGGGCCAGGAGGGGTTTCCCGCATCCACCCCAGGCTCGCCTTCCTTCTGGCCTGTCCTTACTCCCTCCTCCCACCGATCCACATGGGTACTTGTCCCGGCTGTCTTATCTCCAGGGGGCTGGGACACCAAACCATTTGGCACCCTGGTGTATCATGCCTTAGCCACTGTTAACATTTCAGCAGGCCCTACTGGAATGCCTTACCAGGGTGTGAGAAAGTGTCAGTCTGGACCCTGGAGTGGCTTGTGAAATAAATTTAGTGTGTCATGACCAACATGCAAAACAACAACAACAGAAGAACAGTATCGAGTGTTTTGAAAAAATATCAGGGTACCAGATAGAGAATAGGAATAAGTGTATCTCATGAAATTTTTGTTTTGGTTGTATTGAATAAACTAGGTCAATATCTAAAATATATTTCTTTTTTTTTATTTAAATTCAATTAGCTACAGTACATCATTAGTTTCAGATGTAGTGTTCAATAATTCATCAGTTGCGTATAACCTGTATTTCTTACGGAGAGTTTTAAACAGAACAGCCTGAAAGCCATTATCTTTCCAGAAAAGAGAGAGAGCCAGGGGAGCGCAGGTTCTGTGGCCAGGCCAGGGGCTGGTTTTCGTGGGGTCAAACCCCCACGAAAGGCTCTGTGCCTAAGCCCTCCCTGGAATCTTCAGACAGCCGGACTAGGGAGCGCAGGGAGGGAGGGAGCTAGGCTTTATAAAGAGAGAACTGCATTTTTTGTTGTTGTTGTTGTTGTTGTTGTTTTCAGGAAAATGCAGTGGTTGTGGAGAGAAGGTCTGCATGGTGCTATGGTGCCCAGAGAACACTGCTCAATCCCTACACGGAGGCCAGCTCTTCCGTGATCTGTGCACAGAAGACCAGACTTTAAAGTTTATAAAGCTTTGGTAAGTGACCAAGAAGTAGTCACGGTTGTGCTCTGGGGATAGAAGAATGACAAAGATGCTGTTTCGGCGAGATCACGTGTACCAGAGTCCCTGCTGTGCACGAGAGGAGACACACAGGCAACGTGCCACGGGAGGATGGGATAAATGCTACAACAGGGGTGTGTTTAGACTAATGGGAGAGAGGAGAAAAGGCTAATTCTGTGCAGGGCTGTGCTCATTTCCTAGGGCTGCCATCACAAAGTCCCACCCCCTGGGCTGCTTGGAGCAACAGAGGCTTACTTTCTCAGTCTGGAGGCCAGAAGTCTGAGGCCAAGATCGTGTCAGGGCCATGTTCTCTTTGAAAACATTAGGGGTGGATGTGTTCCAGGTCCCACCCAGTTTCTGGGGGCGTCCCCAGCTTGTGGCAGCCAACTCCAGACCTCGCCTAGTGTTCCCCGGGAGTGTGTGTGTGTGTGTGTGTGTGTGTGTGTGTGTCCGTCCCAGTTTCCCCTTCTTATCGGACACCGGTGTTGTCAGATTAGGGGCCCACCCTAATGCTTGCAATCAACCTAACTCATTTCACCTCTAATCAGCCTAGGTCCAGATAAGGTCACCTTCGGAGGTACTGGGGGTTAGGACTTAAACATATGATTTTGGGGAGACACAATTCAGCACACAAGGGGTCAGTGGAACGAATGGTGTTTGCCAAAACCTGAAGATCAGCAGGTGTTTTCTACCAACGCAGGAAAGGGATGACATTCCAGAAGAAAGGTGCTTTCTGGTCCCCTGCCCCTCCCACGCACAGAGCAGGCCGCCACAGGCCACCTGGCCAGCCACGGAGACGGCACCCGCTGTGTCTCAGGCACACCCAGCATCCGACTCTTTCTTTAGGAGCCACGAAGGAGAGAGCTTGTCTGCCGGTGGCTAAGAAGCCTCCCGCACCTTCCATTTCAGAGTTAGTAAGCACTGGAAGACCTACTATGTGCCAGGTCCTATCACAGGCAGGACCTTGCTTTTCCTTCACAAGGTGTATTCTTATTTCCATTTCTATGCTACAGAAATCGAGGCCCAGAGAAGTCAACTCAAGCGGACAAAGGTACACAGCTGGTAAAGACAGAACCAAAGCTCAGGTCTTGGCCTGACTGACTTCAAAGCCATTTTAAATCTTTTTTCCCGGTTACATCATGGTGAGAGTCATCTCCCGAGGAAATGCGCACGTTGTGTCATTCCACAGGGCCAGAGTTGGGCGTTCTGTGCCTAAGCCCTCCCTGGAATCTTCAGACAGCCGGACTAGGGAGCGCAGGGAGGGAGGGAGCTAGGCTTTATAAAGAGAGAACTGCATTTTTGTTGTTGTTGTTGTTGTTTTCAGGAAAATGCAGTGCCTGAAGGGAAGCTAACCAGAGCGGAGAACCCCAGGATATTCAAGTGAGGAGGGAGTCCAGAACCCACTGCAGCCCCTTCTGTCATGGGAGGTGACCCGGGAGGAAGGGTCCTGGCTCACCAATCCACAGCTGGCTGGTCACAGGGTCAGTTCTGGAACCCAAGAGTCGGTACTGGGACACTGACATACTTTCGGAGTTAAAGTGGTTATTTAAACCACTCCCACCTGGGATAAAATGCAGACGGTTGAAACCAGTCGGGGGAGGCCAAGCCCTGGAGATCTGATAGCCGGCCAGTTCAACGGTAATGGGGCCTCCACAGCCCACAGCACACTCCGCGGAAACAGGAGTGGGAGAGCCGGGGCCACTGTCCGGGCATCAGGGAAACGATTAAAACAGCCTCCAACCTCAGGCATTTGAGAAAAAAAAAAAAAAATGTTGAGGGGTGAAGGAAGGAGTGCCCGAAGGAATTGGAGGTCCTGTCGGAGCAGGTTCCTGAGCCTCAGCTTGCTCTTCTCGCTCCGGGAGTCTCTCCCAGCCCCCCCAGCTCCCCCCGCGGCATTAATCGAATGCTCAGGGAAAGATAACGTGTACAAACACCGGGATAAGCAGAAACACCGAGATGACTGCCCGTGACTCCTTGCACTAATTTCCTGCTTGCGCTGCCTGGGCTTGAAGCTTCCCGTGCCCAGCAAAGCTGGCAGGCAATCTCCTCGAAGTCACAGGCTCTCCCGAGGCTGCGCCCTTGTCCCCGGGGGGCCTGGGCCCAACCTACAGCTGGAGCACATCCTCCAGTTGTTCGGCTCCCGTGGAGCTAAGCACCTACATATTGGACTGCACCTAGTTCCCAGGAAGATCGCACTCGCCCCTGGGACTTTTAGAAGCCACACAAGCGTCATCGCATCCACCAAGCCGGCGGTGAGTGACAAATACACAGCGCGAACGCAGTGCGGCCTGCCAGCAAAGCCCCAGGCCCCCGCCCGGGCTGCTCAGTGCACACCACCCACCGCTCCTCCCCAGGGCCTCCTCCAGGAAGATGGGCAACAGGGGACTGCCACCCTGCCCCAGGCCGAGGAGAGCGCGGTGGGAGTCTCGAAGGAGGACGGCGCTGTGGCTCGGAAAGCGCAGACAAGTTAAGTTGCGTGTGCGCGGAGAGAGGGGGTGAGCCATGTTCCCACCCGGCCCCTGAGCTCTCGGAGGAATGCTCCTCCACGCTGTACGTCTCCACAGCGCTTACCTTTCTGTCTTTGGAGGTGGACTGGCCAGGGGCCGTCTCCCCTCTCTTGGAGGACTTAGAGGAGGTAGAGGAGAGGCCGTGGGCGCGGCGGGGCTTCAGGCCGTCCAGGCTGCTGAGGTATTTCTTCCGCAAGGCCAACAGCTCCTGCAAGTACTGCAGGCAGTCCTGGGTGCGCGAGTACATCCACGCCCGGTCCCCCTCCTGCTGCAGGTAGGACAGGCTGGTGTCCGTGCTGCTGGGGCTTTTGCATTTCTTCAAGGACTCGCTGAATTTCTCTCCGTGGTCCCCGACCACGTACATGGAGCTGCTGCGGATCAGCCTCACGGTGGGGCTGGCTCTGTCCGAGTAGGGGCTCTCGGCCACGTCCGCCTTCCTCTGCGGCCCGGAGTTGAAGATCGAGTGCAGCCTTCTGAACATAGTGCTCGATTCCTCCGTGGGGGTGCCTGCCAGCTGCCTGCGCTGTGCCACTTGATCTAGCTGCGGGGAAAGGAGCCAGCACGCCGGCCTCCCGCCATCCGCCTCCCACGAGGCCTCGGGTCTCTGGAATCCCCGAGCCGGTGGGCCCGGTCAGGCGGGCAGGCCGGGCAGCTCCCCTGGGGGGGGACATTTACCTCCAATAACCACGATGCCATCAACCACCTGGACATATAAGGTGGGGCACTGTGGGCTTACTCGCAAGAGGCCTGTTCATTTTCCATTTCTGGATGTGGTCTCACTCAGTTTGATTTGATCTTGGTGTGGATTTTTACGTTTCCACCTGGGCCGAGCTGGCTCTGGTCTGGAACGCCTTGCATCCAAAATGAAATCCTACTTGGTGAAAACACCGCGAAGCCAAAACTCATGTGTTGCTTGAGGTAAAATCCAGTCCCCCGCGAGAGGCCAGGGTGGACACAGCCAGGGCTGTTGGCAGGAGGCTCTCAGATCTTCGATAAGCTGGGCGCTGAGCAGGCATGCCAGTATCCTGCAGGTGCCTCGCCCCGCTGTAAGGCGACCTCGCCACGGTTACCGGATAGCAGCCCGCTGTGGAGACAGGAGGATTCAGGTATCGGGACCAAGCTTTCTGCACAAAACCCTTAGCGAGCGGAGGGTGGCCGCAGAGATAGGGCAGACGCATTCTTTAGCTGGAGCACATTTTTCATTTAAATAGACTAGTCATAAGCAGACACTAACTATTTTTCCAAGAGCATCCTTTGAGTACATTAGGATCTCAGGGATGTCCCCTCTAGGATTTTTCTCAGGCTAATAGGACACATGGCTATTGCCTTCATTTCTCTAACACAGCCTATTTCTCTCCCACACTTCACTCAGAGAGCTGCAGCCTATAAATCTCTAGCACAGGCATTTGCTTAAGCTGGGATAGGTGTTAGAGGAAGTCCGTGAGACCCCAGAAACTGTATATGGGGTGTTACTGGCTGTGGTGGGTACTGGCATGGTTTATTTTTGCTGGGTTTCTGTTTTGTTTGTTTTTGTTTTTTGAAAGAGAGAAAGTGTTCGTGGTTTTGTGAGATCTTCAAAGAGTTCTGATACAAAAAAAATATATTTTTTTTAATATTTATATCCTGCTTCAGAACAAGAACTTTGCCCTCTGAAATGTAGCTACCGAAGGGCATTATAAGCACATTTGCATTGAGCACATGCTCTGCGTGTGGCATTCCAGACCCCTCGTTGAGAGGGCCTTGAATATGCAGCAGTTTTCAACACTCTCGCTTAGCAGAGTGCTTCAGGGTTGATGAAGTGTTTCTACACACACTAATTTACTGAACCGTCGTGGCTTCCTTGGGGCAGAAGCATCCTTTCCATTATCATTATTGGTCCTCAATTCACAGATGAAGAAGGTGAACCTGGAGCAGTTAGGAGACTTACTGAGGTCTAAATCAGTGAGTGAGAACCTTGTCCTCAGACCCAACCGCCCAGCTTCAAGCCTGGCATGCTGGCCCCGCTGCTCCCCTCAATGCCATGGACCCATGACGTCACACACCCTGAGGTCTCTGGTTGGGGGGGGGGTTCAGTATCCTGCCCATTACTCTGGCTTCACACGGGCACAGTATCGAAGCACTCAGGATAGATGAGTGCTCACAGAATTTCTTCCTAGAGGAATCCAGGGACTGTGACCTTCCTCAGTGGACTTATGATGATATAATTCTACATGGATTTAGAAAAAGGTTAGCTAAAAAATGAAGTCTAATCTATATCCTATCCAGAATGTCCCAAGAACCTAACCTGTTGATCACAAAGAGAATGAAAAATATCTTCCTCTGTATTTTTCTCCTCTCTACTCCTGCTTCCCTGCTGGATTCTTCTGAGGGCCAGATTTATGAAGAAAATTGATAGAAAATTCCAGTGACATCACTAGCAGAGCATTTCGTGAATACTAAGGGACAGGACATTGGCAGTAGGCATGGCCCAGCTAGGTGACTCTCACATCCTGTATCAGAGCAGTCTCGAAGCCGCCCCTCTCTCCAGAGCTCCTGCTGAGGGAGTCGAAGGGAGAGAATACTTCCTCCCTACAAAAATACTTGTCATCTGTGTTTGGGAAAGTTCATCTCAAATAACAACAGCCTTTTTACCTCATTTAGATTTTCTCATGGCCTCACCAGAAGAAATGGGTATGAAATCACCCTCTGGTCTTAAAAAAGATATATAAATGCCCATCAAATCCCAAATCAGGCACCCCAGGTTTGACTCTTCCCTTGCATGGTGGAGAATGCCAGGCAAACACCTAGGTGGGGAAGGGAGATGGGCCTGTGTCCTAGCCCCCAGCCCAGCCCCTCCACACCAGCCCCGCTGTGGACGGGAAGGAGCCAGCTGGTCCTGGAGCGGAGTTCCCCACTCAGCACAGGCCAGACCCGCTCTTTGTGTAGATATCAAGAGCCTTGAGGCTTAACCAGAGCCCCAGAGAATTGGCATAAGGGACTTAGTGGATCAAACCTTGCTTTATTCTAGAACTTCTCAAACTCCAAGAGCAGAATCCCAGGGTGGCAGCAGAGGGTCCAGAGGGCTTGTTCCACAGCAGTGCCAATGCCAGGCAGTGGTAGCTACGGGCAGGAGGCGTGGAGGAGGGTGTCGGAGCTCCTGTCTGCTCCCTACACCAGCCTAGTGTGCTGGAACTGCCGCCCTGCTCACGGCCCGCCAGGGTGGGCCTCACACGAAGTGGGGGTGGCTCACAGCTCTGCCCCCTACCAGCTTAGCAAAGCCATTTAAACTCTGAGCTTTGGTGTTCTTATCTGCAAAAGTAGATATTACCTATTTCATAGCGCTGTTATAATGATTAAATGCAGCAGTAGAGAGGAAGCACTTAATATGTCATATTTGCTCCGTCAAAAGTGTCAATTAATGTAAAATTATATAATTAATAATTAATATAAAAGTATTATTACTACTACAACTATTTTGCGGCTCCCAGCCATACAGTTGCCGAACTATTGTTGCAGGCAAATAGTCTGCATCCAGGCCTCTCATCCTTCCATGTGTGTATATATCACAGGCTGAGGCCAGCAGCCCCAGTAACGGTCAGCACAGAAATCACTAGTTGAGCCCGCTGCCCTGGACAATGCTGTGTTTCCCTAGGATGCTAGCTCTCCAGAGCAGCCCACTGCCTTGTGAGCACATGGCCAGGCATTCCGTCCCTTCCAGCACGAAGCCAGGTGAGCGCCTAACCACTACCCTCGCCTGTGGCTGGGCGTGTTGACTATTACTGTGCTGTAACCTGGATGGTCTCAGGGAACACACATCTCGAGGTCCCTACTTCTCCACTCCCGCCAGGCTGCAACTGAGCTTCCCATAGAGTCCTGAGTCAAAGCCAAAGATCTGTACACTCATCCTGTGTCTAGCATCCGGTTGGCTGTGTCCCCAACATGCAAGAGACTCTGAGTCAGCACTTCCCAGAAGGCAGGTAAATAGAGAGGAGGAATGAAGGAGGGCATGCAGAGGAAGAGGGGGAAGCTGAGAAAAGGAAGAGATCAAATCGTCCATGCTGAATATTTAATGAAGGGTAAGATTACAGCGTTTGACAATGCAGATCCCATGTCACGTTGGTCCATTTGCACAGCGCATTGGAACATTTTGCTTTCTGGTGATGCTATGAATGGAGAGGAAAAGTGTTTACCCTGGAGACAAGCTCCTGTGGCTCAGATGCAGTGCCTGTGCCTTTGGACCTCTGTCCAGTACAGCACAGTCCATCTGGAAGCACAGTAACTCCTGTCCCCCTGTACTTGGCCCTCCGCACATGGAGACTGAAAATGGAGTGACAGATGGCTTTGCCATGCCTTCGTGCTTTAACATGCTTGGAAATCCCTTAACAATGTGCCAGGAAGCAAACATCAGATCCTCTGAGGTGCACAAGACTAAAAAATGTCCTGGCACCTGAATACACAGAGGGTTGGTGACTGCACTTGTAGACGTCCCCGGAAGGCACAACCACAGTTTGGGAACTGCTGCCAGTTGGAAGGCAGGATGGAAGGTAGGCTAATTCAGTGGGGCCAAGATCAGAGACGCGTAGTGAGAGACTGGGCTGGAGAAAGTTGCGGGGGGGGTGGGGGTGGCATCGGGCAGTTAAAGGAGGCTTGGACTGGTTCTTTGAAAGAATTAATAAGACTGATGGCCAGACTTATCAAAAAGAAAAGAGAAATGACCCAAATAAATAAAATCATGAATGAAAGAGAAATCACAACCAACACCAAAGAAATACAAATAATTTTAAGAACATCTTATGAACAACTATATGCCAAAAAATTAGGCAATCTGGAAGAAATGGATGCATTCCTAGAAACAAATCAACTACCAAAACTGAAACAGGAAGAAATAGAAAACCTGAACAGACCCATAGCCAGCAAGGAAATTGAAGTAATAATCAAAAATATCCCAACAAAAAAGAGCCCAGGGCCAGATAGCTTCCCAGGGGAATTCTACCAAACATTTAAAGAAGAATTAATACCTATTCTTCTGAAGTTGTTTCAAAAAATAGAAATGGAAGGAAAACTTCAAAACTCGTTCTATGAGGCCAGCATTACCTTGATCCCAAAACTGGACAAAGACCCCACCAAAAAGGAGAATTACAGACCAATATCCCTGATGAACATGGATGCAAAAATTCTCACCAAGATACTAGCCAATAGGATCCAACAGTACATTAAAAGAATTATTCACCATGATCAAGTGGGATTTATTCCTGGGCTGCAAGGTGTGTCAATATTCACAAATCAATCAACATGATACATCACATTAATAAAAGAAAGGACAAGAACCATATGATCCTCTCAACTGATGCAGAAAAAGCATTTGACAAAATACCGCATCCTTTCTTGATTAAAACTCTCCACAGTGTAGGGATAGAGAGAACATACCTCAATCATAAAAGCCCAGCATGAAAAACCTACAGCGAATATCATTCTCAATGGGGAAAAACTGAGAGCTTTCCC